GGTTCCTTCACCCTCAGGAGGGTGGGCTCTTCCCAAGGGCTGACACTTAGTGGCTTTGCAACAGCACAGTTTTGAAACATGACTGCTTCTGCCTGCACCTCACCCAGCAATATTCTTAAGTGCATGCAGGCAGATCACACAGTACACTGAGTAAACAAGGGCTTACTTGTGATTGCTTACTAATCTGTAGCAAAACCCACGAGAAATTGTTCACTACAGATCAGTTAGTAAGCATAAGTCACCCGTGTTTACCTTGCCGAATGGAAGCCCATCCCCGTCTAGAACTGTGACTGTGAAAACAGGTTCTGTAGGATGGTTCAGAGAGGCAGGGAGACACAGATGCTGACCATACCTAGGAAAGAGAATCTTTGATGTGGGGAAGGGTGTGAAATTGTTCAATTGTTAGATGCCATTGAGCTAAGTATGAATCAGAGACCCTATGAACAAAAGATCTGAACCCTGTTCTATCCTGGGCCACCTTCACACTTCCTGACACACAAGAGCCTATTGTCACTGTATCAATCCATCTGGTTGAGGGTTTTCCTCACCTTCACCAACCCGCCACCCTTCCTAGCATCATGGTCCCTCTCCAAGAACAGCCCCTTTTAGCAACATGCCCAAAGTATGTGAGGCAAGGCCTCATCATTCTTGCTTCCAAAGAGCACTCCGGCTGCACCCTCTCCAAAACATATTTTCCTTTCTCTTGGCCATCATAGGATGTTCAGTGCTCTTCTCCAACACCACAGCTCAAAGGGATAACTTATTTTTCTGTCATCCTTATTCACTCTCCAGCTCTCAGATGCATAGCAAGTGATCGGAAAAACTATGGCCTGAATCAGACGCACCTTAGTCTTCGAACTGACATCACTACTCCACAATAATTTTTTTTCTATAATTATATTTTATTAATTTTCATAAACATTTACAGAGATTTTGGGCTTCCACTCATTCATTGTTGCTCCACAATAATTTTGAAAGGTCCCTAACTGCAGATCTTCCCAGTGCAATGTGTCTCTTTATTTCCCAACTGCTGGTACCAAGGGTGTTAATTGTGTATCCAAGCAAGATGAAGCAGTTGATAGTTCCAATCTCCTTTCCATCCATCATGACATTGCCTATTGATTGGTCCCGTGGTAAAAATCTTTGTTTTCTTGAGATTGAGATGCAATCCATACCAGAGGCTGCAGTCCTTGATCTTCTGCAACAAGTGTTTCAAGTCCTCCTCACTTTCAGCAAGCAAGGTTGTGTCATCTGCATAACACGGTTATTGATGAGTCTCTCTCCAATCTCGATGCCACATTCCTCTTCATAGATTCCAGCTTCTCGAATAATCTGTTCAATACAGGTTAGTAAATTAAGCACAGGTAAACCCAGCTCACCTGAGTAGGTAATGATCCACCTCTTTCCTCCTTTCTGTTTTAATTGTGATTTTAATGTAATTTTACAGATAGGTTAGATATTCATTCATTGTTGCGTATTTTATCCCCTCTCCTTCCCTAGTTAATTTTTTTAAAAAATATTCTTTTGGGGAGCTCTGGTGGCCTAGTGGCAAGGAGCTGCAACTACAATCCCAGAGGCACACGGTTCGAATCCACCAGATGCTCTGCCGGGAAAAGGAGGGACAATCTCCTCCTGTATCAGTCAGATCTAATTTGACGGTACACTCACACACACACACACAAAAAAAAAAATTAATTAAAAAAAATATTCTTTTATTGTTACACAATTATCTCCCCGCCCCCAGTCCTCTTTGCAATATATCTCTTCTTCTGGGCTGTTGTTGTACAAATAATGCTTAATCATATATTCCCTTTAAATAGTTCTTTCCTTGATCTATTCCAATGCAGTGTTCATTATTTATTTCCTCTTTTCCACCAACTCCCATGTCAGTCCTGTTTCATAACAGTGGTGTTATGCAATATTTCTCTTTTTGTGACTGAGATATTCCACTTATCATAATGTCCCTGAGGGTCATCCATGTTGTGTAATATCTTGAGTTCCTCGTTTTTCAGTGCTGTGTAGTATTCCACTGTGTGAATATACTACAGTTTCTCTATCCATTCATTTGTTGATGGGCACTTAGGTTGCTTCCATCTGTTTGCTATTGTGAATAACACAGCAATAAACATGGGTGTGCATACATCTATTTGGGCGGCAGCTCTGGTTTCTTTAGGGTATATTCCCAGTAGTGGAATTGCTGGGTCAAATGGTATTTCTATTTCCAATTTTCTGAAAAGCACCTGCCTGCCAGAGTGGCTGCACCATTTTACACTCCCACCAACAGGGAATAAGGGTTCTAATTTCCCCACAACCTTGCCAGCTTTTGTTGTTTGCTGCTCTGCTGAACTTTGCTATTATTACTGGGGTGAGCTGATACCTCATAGTTGTTTTCATTTGCATCTCTCTGATAGCTAGGGATTTTGAACATTCTTAATGTGTTTGTTTGCCATCTGAACGTCTTCTTTGGTGAAGTGTCTATTCATATCCTGTGCACACTTTGTGATTCGATTGTTATCTTTTTCTTGTTGTGGTACTCGAGTATTCTATAAATTTTAGATATAATTCCCTTATCAAATGTGTCACAACGGGAAGCTCTGGTGGAGTAGTTGATATGGAATTGCACCAATAGCCCGAAGGCAGCGCTTCCCTGGCAGTTTGGATCCATTAGCAACTCCAAGGGAGGATGGTGGGCAGACTTTCCCTGTGTGACTGACAGTCTGGAAAGCCAATGGAGGCTCAGTTGAGACAGTTCTGACTTGACTTTCAACCAGAGGGGCAGCCCTTCCCCTTTGTAGGTGGGTAGGTTTGGCACCCGTGGAAGGGAGGTCTTTGTGCTGAGAACAAATCAACCACCAGTCAGGCAGGGTAGACCAATGCATTGTTTATTGTAGACTCAAAGCTAAGGGAGCTCAATCGCCGAGAGCTCCAATTTAGGGAGCGTCTGAATACCCAAGCTCCCCCAAGAGCAAGGGGCAAACTCCACTGCAGAGTGAAAAGAACTTTCTGGGAGCAGCCCCTTTGAAGGGCCCAAGAGGAGGTCCTGGGGGAGCAAGCAGGTTGGCATGCAACACTTAACCAGAAAGGCTGGGTCCAGAGACTCTGGAGCCCTGGCTGGGCAAACCCAGCCTCGCCTCCTGCCAATGTAAAGTCAATCCCTTTGTAGGAGTGTGGGGTCAGCTCTGAAAGACCCGAGAGACTGAGCATCCCCAGGCCAGGCCTCACTTAAGACAGGGAGTGAGCAGAGCCAAAGCCCTGTGAGAGAGGGTGCAGAGAAGGGCATCACCCTCTCCTCTGCACCATAAGTGCAACCCCTAGAACCCTGCTTCCCAAACTGTCCAGTGCTTACAGGGGCCCCTGGGGGTCCTGTTTCAGTGCAGATTCTGATCCAGAAGGCCTGAGAGTCTGTGTTTCTAGCAAGCCCTCAGGTGAGGCTGAGGCTGAGGCTGCTGGCTCCTCGTCCCAGGCCCCTCTCCTGTAGTCTGAGTTGCAGGGTTCTGGCTAAACAATGCCTTTTTATTGGGGCGGGGGGGTTGGGAAACAATAAAAGCACCCTTCCCTAACTATAAGAAACCTACCTCTAGCACACAAGATGGGGCAAGCTGGGGTTTTCCCCATTCATTCCCCTCAGGCACAGCTGAGCTCCCAGCTGGAGAGCCACCAGCTCCACTCCTCACCCGGACCCACCCCAGAGAGACAATCAGGATTTGAGAAAAGAGCAAAGTGAACAGGGCATCTGTTGGAATAGAGAAGTGAGGGGTGGCCCAATGGTGCCCCAAGCTGTCAGCTCCCTGCTGTGAGACGGGAGAACCTGGGAGCATTCAGAGGTGGTTCACTGCTCTGAGGGGCAGTGTCTGTTGGGAACAGCTTCACCTTGGGAATGGTCAAGTGCCCACAAGTGCACAGGACACAGGAGCTGCATGACCTGGCCAGGCCCCAAATCACAGGGTTCAGGCTGCCTCCAGACACCCACCCTGAGGTTCCCGCCACATCAGCCTGCCTCACAGGTGAGGAGGTGGGAGGTAGACACCCAAGTATCTGGAGAATCAGTGATTCTTCAAACCCTACGGTTCTGCCAGAAAGCAAGAGCCCAGGCCCTCTCTTGTTGGAGTGACCAGTGGTCAGAAAATGCCACATTCCAGGAAACACCTCAATCCCAGGCAAACCAAGCTAAGGGCTTAGAAATGACAAGGTCACTGGGGATTTGGGTGGCCATGGGGAAGCTGGCCAGCTGCAAATCTGGTGGAAGAGCCCCCAGTTGACCCTCTACATGGCAGTGGTCAGGGGGAGATCACTGAACATGGTCACCAAATTACTTCTGACAGATTCACAGCAAAGGAAGCTGAGTGATAACAGCTGTACTCTTATTCTCCATCTCAGGCTCCACCAGGAAAGCTCTTGGCCCCCTTAGCCCCGCAGGCAGAGTCTCACCCTGGTTCTCCTGCTGCTCTGAGTTCCAGCCCAGCCAACCAGAGTGGCTGGGGATGGGGCAGCATAAAGGCTGCACCTCCAAGTCTGGTCTCAGGAAGCAATAAATAGGGGAGGAGGTCTACTACTCTCAGTGCTAAAACAAGGGCCTCAGTCCACAGGGGCCAAAGAATGGCATGCTCATTCTACGGGCTCAGAAGTGCCCTGAAGATCAGAGGCAACTATTTCCTAAAAATCTTCCAAGGAGTACAAAGGAGGCACGTGTCTCACAACTACCCCTTCCCACATGTGGAGGCTCCGAGAGGGTGAGGGGTCTGCCTGGGTTTGCACAGAAGCTGCGGGCGCTCAGTGCTAGCCCTTTGCTCCTCCCTTGGGTGTGCAGGCCCCCTACTGCCCAAAGCTAGCTAGCTGTCCTGGGCTCTGGGTCAGCAGCACCCCTCCCCTCATGTGCTGTCTGGCCCACCCGCTTCCAGCCCCCTAAACTGGGCCTCCCATGAACCCCTGGGACTCCCTCCCTTCAAGGCTGTGGGCTGTGTGGCCTCTGTCCATTGCTGGGTGGGCATGAGAAGGGTGGCCTAGGGTGGGGGTGCCCGTGCACCCTCCGGAGACATGAGCATGTCGAACTTGATGAGCGGTGGGGCTATGACGCGCACCTCGGCGTTAAGCGGGTTGAAACGGAGGTTGATGCTTCGTAAGGCTGGCATGGCAGCCAGCTTCTCCACGGGGACATCTGCGGGGGAGAGAGGGGACAGGTTAGGCAGCTTAGTGACAAGTTAGCAGAGAACAAGCAGGACAGTGAAGCAGCAAAACTACAAGCAGTGTCAAGGAGCAGATCTCCAGCCCCTGCTACACATGGAGCCTGCTCTTGGATGTTCACAACTGCCTGGGGGAAATTCATCCTGAAAAATAAAGACCAAGTTCCTCAAAAAGTTACCTGATAGCCACCAAACCCATTGCAGCAAGCTGATTCCTGCTCATAGTGATCCTGGGAGACAGGGAACTTGCTCGACAGCTCACCAGGTGCAAACCACTGATCTTGCAGTAAGCAGCGGAGTGCTTTAACTACATGCCACTGGGACTCCTGTGACCCAGCAATTCCAGTCCCACACATTTACCCCAACAAGGAAAAGCTGGAATGCAAAGAGGGATCTGGGTGCCAGTGTTCACGGAAGCATTATCCACAGCAGACAAAGATAGAAACCGCCCACACAGACATCAGTGGATCAACCGGGGAACACAACGTGTTACATACATACAATGGAGTATTACTCAGCTCCCAAAAGGAATGGAGCTCTGATACATGCTACAGCGTGACTGACCCTTGACTGCATTATGCAGAGTGAAAGCAGCGAGACACAAACCTCGTATTATAGGATTCTATTTGCAGGCAATGTCTACAATAGGCAAAACCCATCAATATAGCGAGCAGACTGGTGGTTGCTAAGGGCTGAGGGAAAGCAGAGTGACTGCTTACTGAAGCCTCCTTTGGGGTGATGAAAATATTCTAAAATGAGGTAGTGGCTGTCCAACATTGTGAATGTAATACCTGCCACTGGGTTGTATGCTTCTAAATGGTTATGTGAATTTCATCACTTTTTTTTTTAAAAGGACCAAATCAAGTCACATCAGCCATACCAAATGACATCTGGCAGCTCCTCACATTAACCTTAACCATAATCCTACCACTATTCCAGAACATAGAAAAGGCATACTTTTGAACTCATTCTATGAAACAAGCAGAAGTGACACCAAAACCAGGTAAAGATGTTGTTGTTTGTTGTTGTTATGTGCCATCGAGTCGCTTGCGACTCATAGCGACCCTATGTACAACAGCCCTAAACCTTGCTCTATCCTGTGCCAATCTCACTGCCTCTGACACACCCATCCCGATTACCCCAGTCACTGAATCAATCCACCTCATAGAGGGTCTTCCCCTCCTGTGCTGTCGCTCCACTCTGCCCAGCATGATGTTCCTCTCCAAAGACCTGTCTCTCCTTACAACACGTCCAAAGTATGTCAGGCGAAGCCCCAGAATCCTTGCCTCCAAGAAGCAGCCTGGTTTAACCCTCTCCAGGATGAATCTATTTGTTTTCTTGGCAGTTCAGGGTACATTCAGTACTCTTCTCCAGCACCACAGCTCAAAAGCGTCAATTCTCCTTCTATCCTCCCTAGTCATTGTCCAACTCTCTGATGCATAACAAGTGATTGCAAAAACCATGGCCTGTATCAGGCGCACCTTAGTCTCCAGAGAGACACCGTTGCTCTTGAGTACTTTAGAGAGGTCCCTAACCGCAGACTTTCCCATCGCAATATGTTTTTTTATTTCCTGGCTACTGGTGCCAAGAGTGTTGACCGTGGAGTCGAGCAAACTGAAGCTGTGAACAATCTCAAATACTTGCCATGCATCAGAGAGCCAGATGATGACTAAGGATGACAGAAGCAGAATCGATGCCTTTGAGCTAGAGAAGAGTACTGAACATATCATAGACTGCCAAGACAACAAACAGGTCTGTCCTGGAGTGCTTCTTGGAGGCTAGGATTTTGAAGCTCCACCTCACATACTTTGTGCATGTGTACAGATGGGACCAGTCCTTGGAGAAGGATATCATGCTTGGAAGGGTGGAGGGACAGTGCAAGAGAGGAAGACCTTGGATGATAATGGATTGACATAGTAACTAGTATAACAAGGGTAGGCGTGTCAGAGACAGAGATGATCTCAGGATAAGGTAGGCTTTCATGCTATTGTTTATTGGTTGCTATGAGTAGCAGTCTACTTGACAGCACATAACAACACAACATTTATGATAGGTGGTGCAGTAATTAAAAGCTCAACTACTAATTGAAAGATAGTGGCTTGAACCAATAGCCTGTCCAAGAGAGAAAAAAATGTGGTAGTTAAGTTCTGTAAAGATAACAGCCTTGGAAACTGTATGGGACAGTTCTGCTCTGTTTATAGTGCTATTCCATTTAGAAGACTTAGGAGGAGATACAAGGAGAGTGTCTTTAGAAGTCAGGATAGTGAAACTGTCTCACATACTTTGGGCATATTGTCAGGTCAGGAGGAACCAGTCCCTGGAAAGGGGCTTCACACTTGGAAAAGTACCAATGACTTCACAAGAGAGGAAGACTTTGAGAATGCACACATGTGGATAGCTTCCTCCTAGTTGGCCAGGTAGTTGCCTTTCAAATTTCTTGGCATGGATTAGTGGGCATTTCCGGGGCTATATCTCTTTGTTGAAACACCTAGTTTTAACTAGTATTTCATCCAGTCCTGGAACCTTATTTTTTTTTCCCCATTTTCAGTGGCCTTTATTCCTTTTACGAGAGTCAAGTCTCCACCTAGTGTCATCCCACATAAAACTTGAAAAATCTTCTTTTTTTTAAAAAAAAAGTTTTATCTTTTTATTCTTTTCAGTCCATGTACCGTCAACTCAGATCTGACTGGTACAGGAGGAGATTGTCCCTCCTTCTCTAGCAGAGAATCTGGGCAGATTTGAACTGCACACCTCTGGGATTGCAGTGCAGCTTCTTGCCACTAGGCCACCAGAGCTCCGAAAAACCTTCTTTAAGACGTCTGCTTACAACAAAGTTTCTCAGCTTACAATCTAAGAAGAAAATACTTTTTTAAAAAATTTCTTTTCTTTTTTTAATTGAAATTTTAATGAAAGTTTATAGAGAACTTGGATCTCCTTTCATTCACTGTTGCACATTTTCCTCTCTGAATGCAGAGAATATACTATACAGTGTTACGAATATAACACACAAGCAAAATCTTGCTGGAAATAATTCATAAATGCTTGGAAGTACAAGGACCAAGAAATGCTAAAGAATCAAACGGGATTCAGGATTATCATTGTTACTGTCAGCTTGGATCCTAGTTAAAAGCAGAGAATACCAGATAAATGTTAATTTGTTTTGTTGAATACGCAAATGTATTTGACTGTGTGGATCATAATAAATTATGCATAATATTGAAAATAATGGGAATTAAAGAACACAAAATTATGCCCCACAGATGGAATCGATCTGATTCTTATGTATACCATCAGGTGAAATACATGTGTATAGCCTGTGTTTATGTTTCTTATAAAAGGTATTTGCAATGAATAAATCATTGTGCAAAATTCAATCATTCTATCTCCAGCTTCATTTCTGTCACCAAATCCATGTTTTCCAACTACTGATCCTTCTTCTCTGTTCCCAACTTTTGCATTCTAGTCACCCATTATTATTAATGTATATTGATTGCATGTTCGATTGATCTCTGACTGCAAAAGTTGGTAGGAATCTTATAGTTCATCTTCTTTGGCTCTGGTTGTTGGTGCATATATCTGAATTATAGTGGTATTTACTGGACTTTCTTGTATGCATATGAATATTATCCTGTCACTCACAACATTGTATTTCCATATGGATCTAGAAATGACTTTTTTAACTATGAAGGTGACCCCATTCTTCCTCACCTTTTCATCTCCAGCATAGATGCCCCAAGTCAGTCCATCTCATCTTACCAATGCCTAGAATGTCAATATTTATGCGTTCTATTTCTTCCTTCTTAACAATATCCAATTTTCCTACATTCATGGTTCCCACATTCCGTGTTCCAATCACTAGTGTCTGCTTACAGCTGTTCCTCTTCCTTTGTGTTTCCATACTTGAAAGGTCCGCCTCAGTTGCCCTGTTAGTCTACGTGTGTTCTGTTGTATATAGGGTTTTCTAAGGCCTGTTGAATGGATGGCCAATCCTTCTTCCTAGTCTGTTTTACTCTGAGTGCTCAGATTTAGAACAGTATTTCAGTATCAACTGTGAAAACCAGGCCAGATGCTGACTGTGGAACAGACCACCAACTACTCATATGCAAGTTCAAGCGGAAGATAAGGAAAATGAAATCAAATCCACAGGAACCAAAATATGACGTTGAGTCTATCCCACCTGACTTTCAAAACCATCTCAGAAACAGGTTTGAGGCCTTGAACACTAATGAGGGAAGACCAGATGAGCTGTGGGAAGATATCAAGAGTATCAACCAAGAAGAGTGCAAAAGGCCATTACATAGACAGAGGAGGAAGAAAAGACCAAAAGAGGAGACTCTGTATTGCACTAGAGCATCAAGAAGCCAAAGCAGAGGGAAGAAATCAAGATATTAGGGAGCTGAACAGAAGATTTCAAAGGGCAGAGCAGGAATACAAAATAAAGTATTATAATGAAATGTGCAAAGAGCTGGAGGCAGAAAACCAAAAGGGCTGAACTTGCTCGGCACTTCTTAAGCTCAAGGAACTGAAAAACAAATTCAAGCCTTGAGTTGCAATACTTAAGGATGCCTTGGGCAGAATATTAAATGATCCAGGAAGTATTAAAAGAAGATGGAAAGACTATACAGAGACATTGTACCAAAAGGAATCAGCAGACACAGATGAGCAAGAGCTTGTGGTGATGAAGGAAGAAGTTCAAGCCGCTCTGAAAGAATTGGCAAAAAACAAGGCCCCAGGAATTGATGGTATACCATTTGATATATTTCAACTAACAGATGCTGCCCTAGAGGTGTTAACCAAGTTGTGCCAAGAAATCTGGAGGTCAACCACCTGGTCTACTGACCGGAAGAGATCGATATTTATTCCCATTCCAAATAAAGGTAATCCAATAAAGTGTGGAAATTATCAAATAATATCATTAATATCACATGCAAGCAAGATTCTGCTGAAGATTATTAAAAAAAGACTGGAACATCAC